ATATAACAATAACAAAATTTGCTTTATTACAGTATAATAAAGTTCACTTTACTAACTGTTTTTTCTCAAATATCTTTGGAGAGCCAAGCCAAGGAAATGCACAAGAAAATCAGGGAGCTAAGTCATACAAATTTGTTTATGTAATATCTGGTGGTTATTCAGTCTGATAACATCATCATAGTGCACAAACTTAGGTGACAGCTATCTGATTTACTTGTGTGTTTCCTGATGATGAGCTTGGTTTCCTGAAAATGCCCAAGAAAAAACTGTTATTAAAGTGAAATCTATTATAATAAAGCAGATTTTCATTGTTATATTTTTAAAGAACTTGGTGTAGTTTTGCTACATTTATAAATTTGAATTTCTCTGCTATGCTTCTTTTAATATAATAAAATTATATTCTAGTTTCTAAATTTCATTAAAACTATTTGAAAAATATTACTATATAAATAAATTAATATACATACATTATAAAAAATATAAACTAATTAAAAATAAATGCTAAAATAATTTATTACTCAAAATTATTTCTAATGTTCTCTAAACAATTCTCTCTTATCATGGTAATTCTAATTAATAACTGTTATCTGAATATATTCAGATAGTGATATTTATTTGACTTTTTATTCTTGAATGCCAAATAAATTTGTATTTTTAAGTATTGAGCACATTAATTACAGAGCTTTTATGTGACTCTATAAGAAAACTATAAAATATAACAGGAAAATAATTCCTAAATAATATAACATCATTTCTTATACATTAATTAATTGATTATAAATAAAATCAAATAAAATGTAATTAAAAGATAAGATTTTCTTGTTTAGGTATAAAAAATTATCTTTTCTGATTAATTTTTTTATTTCATAAGAAAATACTAATTCTACTTCATAATAAGTTTTGTAATTATAGAAAAATTTCTTTTAGGTAGTGTAGTGATACCTAAACATTAATTTTGTGTTTATATAGTGTTTATAAAGTAGTACCTTTATCAGGAGCTACTTTTAAATAATTCAAAATTGTCCATTTAATAATCATTACTTACGAATTAACAAATCTTTTCATATTTTCACTATACATTGACAACAAATTCAGAATTAGAACTCATTCTACATTGCTTACATTTTTTTTATAGTTTGTTTATTAAATATGATGTTAACACAGTAACTGCTATTGCAATCAATCTTCTTTAAAAACTTTGGAAGATTTCAAATATATTTTCATAGTGTACTGGTAAATATTAGTTATGTACATTTCATATGTGGAATGAAATATCCTACATCATAATGAAAATTTTTCACCCAATCTTTCATATCTTACTTTAGCTACGTCTAAAATATCTGAAGATAGATCTTCTACTTTTGAATATCTTACAACAGTAAAATCAAAGATATCGCATAAAAATCCAAGAATTTCATCCTAAAAAGACCATAAATTTACAAAATTATTGATAAATTTTATTTAAGTAATATAAAGAATAAGAAATTCTTAAAGAATTCTTAACTATCAATATTTATATTTGATATAAAAAATTATCAGTATTTTTTTATTAATGATTAAGCATATCTAAATTATAAATAATATCATGCAGAGTTTAAGAAGATAATTAGATTACTTTCTCAATCTATGTTATATTAACATAAATAAATATGATAAAATTGTAAACTCTATAAAACAATCATTAGTTTCTTAATTTAATGCATAACTATTAAAAAATAATTGAGGTATGGTAATGATAAAATGATAAACATAAACATATTTTAATATCAAAACACTTACTAAAACACCTTTTCTTGCAGCCGACGCTTTATTATAACAACTTTCAGAAAGTTGTTATAATAAAGCGTTGGCTGCAAGAAAAGATGTTTTAGTAAGTGTTTTGATATTACAATATGCAGTCTAGAAAGAATTGAAACATATTTTAATATTGTTTAAAGTTTAAATTAAATAATATCACATAAGGTGATTAATAATAATATGCATAATAAAGATAATATTGTTTTAATAAATGTTTCATAAATCAATGATATTTAAAATTTCATCAAAAATCTTCAAACGTTCAAAATAATATTAAGATGATTACTGTCAGATAAAATCACTAAAAATATACTTTAAACATAAAATATAAAAACCAAACAATGTTTGTTCAAATGCTGATCTAGTTTAAAGTAAATAAGAAAATAAAAATGGTCAAAAACTTTAAAGATTCTGATTATTTATTGAAATTAAAAACTTTTCAGAACTTTAATGTTCTATCTTCAAATCCAAATCAAATATATTCTACAATAAATATTTTTTAACTAAATATGGTTAAACAAAAATATATTTTTCTTTAGAATTATTATAAAAAATATATAAGTGATTATAAATATTAAAATTTGCAAAAAGTATTCTGAAAGTATATTAAAAATGTATATCTAAGTTACTGAGCTTTAAAATCAATTATATTCTGGTTTATTGCATAACTGAATCAATTATAACAAGGTTCAAATACTTTCAAGCTTTTCATGGAAGATTATCATTAGATTATCATTTCATGGAAGATTATCATCAATCTTTTCATCTGTGATAATAAAACAAAGTTCGAAAGTACATGAAGCTTGTTTTAATTTATTCTCTTCTCCAAAAAACCAGAATTTAGTTCATATAAAAGCTATTTCATATAACTTCAAATAATCTCAAAAATGAAAAACTTAACTGTTACTCTAAAATTCATTTTTTAACTAAATTTTTTTCAACTTCAATATACTCGTAAATCATTATTCGAAAAAAACTATTGCAAAAAACAAATATCTTTGGTTAACTTGTCCCTAGATTTTCTATTAAAACAACTTTCCTGTATATATTTGGCTTATTTCAGGATAGAAACTCAAGTTCAAATATAAAAATTCCTTAAGAATTTTAAGTTTACTTAACAATTTTATATATCATGTCAGGCTTACCAAATAAAACTTGTCTATAGGAAAAATGTCTTTTTTCATGCTGTTTGACACAAAAAAATTTAGAAACATTCTTATTCAAAGAATAAACCAGGTTAACTGAACAGATTTCAAATTTTCCTAAATACACATAGTTAAATAAAGATATCTAGCATAACTGAAGATGTTATGAATTTTTCACATCATTTCTTAAGTTTCAATTTATTACCATACGCTTAACCAATTTTATGTGTAATATATCTGTTGTATTTGGTAACATTTCTGCAAACATCAGTTAAAATTTTTTAAATTTTATTAAACGTTACTATTTGAAATTTCTTTTTGTAAAGTTTTCTGATATATTATTTGAGATGTACAATTTAAAGAAAACTGTTTGTTAGTAATTGTATAATAGCATTGTTTTATGCATGGTTTCTAATTGCAGATTTGTGTTTTTCAGATGGTGAATGGTTAGATTAACCCACTCCTAGTGCCACTAAATTTGACTTTTAAACTCATGAAACTGTACTTCTATCTAGCTTTAAATCTAGCTTCTGACATTTCATGGAAAACTACTAAATGTTCTTCACCAAGATGAATATCCTGCTTTCCATGCATTTTTCTGAAATAGTCTACTTGATACAGTAAAATAAAATCTTGTTTAGTATATTAAGAAACATCAGACTAAAATGCTTTCATTGTAATAAAAAACAAGAATAACATTTTAAATACATTTTAATGTTTTCCTGTCAATTATAAATGGTTACATAAGGGTCTAGGCAATCATGTTGGATCATTTGAAGTGAAACACAACTTTTTACAGTGTTTTGTTTGATAAAGCACCTGCTGGTATGAAATCCCCCATATAAAATAAGACCAGCTGTATTTACTTACAGTATGATAAGCTATGAAACATTTGTGTTTGAATACAATCTAAACTCTTATAATTTATCACAGATAATTTCAATTGGAGTTCAATTCTCATTCTTTAACTATGCTGTTATTTACTCTAAACAAAATTAACAAAACTAACAGCTGTTATATAACTTATGCAATATTAGAAAAATCATTCCTCTCTGTTGTATCCATAATTTTGAAAATTTAAATTCAGAACATTTGGCAGTTTTTATTAACATTGCTTTATTCCAGTTTATTGTATATTCGATATTAATGCCATAGGAGAACTATAGTTTTAATTGAAAACTCTTGTTTGTTGCAATAGACTGTTGATAATATGCATATATACTTCAAAGATCTAACAATAAATATATTATTTAAAATATAAACATGTCTCACCTTAAAAGAAATGCAAACTTGTTTCAGGTTTTCATCGGGTCCAAGAAAGCCCCATGCTAATACTGGACTTATATGCTCAGAAATTGAATAAAAATGATTGATAAATCCATTTGAATACTGGAATATATATAAATTATTCTATAAAGACCTTAGTTTTTCATTATTTTTTAATTGTTATCTTATGAAAATGAATAATTTGGTTAGATATTAAAATAATATACATAAGACAATATGCTCCCTTTTGAATAATTCAAAAAGTTAACATAACGATAAAATATAAATATTCAAAATACTAATAATAATCACAAAGATAATCTTTGCTTTATTTCAGCAAAGTTTGAGAATGTGATTATTATTTGTATATTTCTTCAGTTTGAATTTTCTTTCCTTTTTTAATTCAAAATATTGACAAAAAATAATAATAATAAAAATTTGTAGGTTTCTTTATTATTTGAAATAAAGTTTAAATAAATCAAACTTATAAACTGTTCTAATAAATTTCTTTGCCTTTCTTATAAATTCAGATCTTCCAGCAATAATGGCAATTCATCAATGAAAAAATTGCAGTATTTCTCAGTATTCAACAAGAAAGGCAGAATACATGGTTTCAGCAAAATGACTGTCTAGCACATTATTTGCTCAACATTGCAACATTATTTGCTGATGCAACTGATGCAACATTATTTGCTTGCTGCTCAACTGTTGTTGACAGCAAGCAAATAATGGTTTGATAATGTTGTTGAGCAGCAATCATTGCATCAGTGTTACAATAGTTGGTGGATAGGACTTGGTGGTCCAGTACCTTGGCCTGCTAGATCACCTAATTTAACACCACTTGACTTTTTTATGGGACATCTTAAAGGAAAGGTATACTAGTACCAAGATGTATTGTACCCACCACCCCAGAAAATATGCAGGAATCAATATGAAATGCTTGTGAAAATATTCCTCAAGAAAGATTGGTGACAAGTTAAGTCTGTGCTTAAAGCACAGACTTAGCTTGTCACCAATCTTTTCTTAAATGTATCAAAAAATGTCTCAAGGTTGAAGGCCATTTTATTGAATACCTGTTAGATTAATTTCTTTATTGCAATTGATTTGTTATGTTTCAGCAATAAAATTTTCACTTTGAAAAAAAAGTTAACATTCTTTTAAAATTGAAATGTTGTAAAATGTTGTAATATAAGTGATAAACAGAAAATGTTTCAGGCAAAGGTTATTTGTGTTTCACATAGAATCAATTGCTCTATAAAAAAATATAGGTTTTCATTTGAAAATAACAAGTTGACCTTTGACACATCACACACATTATCAAAATAAAAAATACATATGTTTGTTTCCCCATCCCTCTTCAAAACAAACATNCCAATAATAAACAATAATTTGAAATAATTCAATTTTGTGTCAGGTTGGCCTCCACTAGGCCCCCCATAACAAAACTCTGGCTACGCCCATGATACCAACTCTTAAAATATTGATCGCAGTGGGTAAAAAGGTAATTTTTTCGAGACTTTAACTCTCGCTCTCTCGGTTATAGATTAAATTTAGGCTAGTGGAACTTAAACGATATTATATCTTATAGAAGCTAGATACTAGACGACTTATCGACGACCGTATGTTCTTTGTCCCGATATAAAAATATTTTTGGATTATTCCCTTTTTGTAGCCTTTCAATTTTTACTCGGTTGTATCGCTTATAGATAATTAAATATGTTATTCTTATATTTCATAATGTGTCATCCTTAAGTACAACTGCCTTCTTCTCACGATTTCGCTATCACTCCCACTCAATTAACCGAAGCCATCCCCTGACAAGGAAGCCAGAAAGAGGAAAGAAGCTCGGCACTCTAACCTCCTCGGTTCTCACAAAAGCATATCAAACACTTAATTACGATTGATTGATACTGAATGTGAAGAATAATAAACTGCAGTGTTTAGGTATTTTATTACAATAAACACATACAGTTCTGCTTTTGGTACTGTACATACGTGCTATGCAGGAAATCACTATTAGCGCGTTACTTTTAAATTAAACAACCCTGTATAACTTACTTTCGTATATTAAAATATTTTTGTACTTATATCCTTCGGAATTCGAAGACATACGGAAAGAAGTCTTTCATGCAAATAAAATGATGTTCTGTTTTCAAAATATCTGAAAATATGAAAAATTTGCTTCTTCCGAATTCTTCAATTCTCAGTTGAATATCGTTATTAGATGTAACCAGGCAGCCATTATCATTCAAAACGTGCTCCAATCCATGCGATACATTTTGTATGTTTTCCAAGCCGTATTTATAGCCAATGTACTCTTTCAAATTTTCTAGAACTTCATTAGGTTGTTTTTCCCATATTAAACCCTATAATTTATAAATTACACAGAGATATATTAAGATATATATCTGTAAACAATACAGAGTACTTACAATAATCTTATTCTTACTTATAGATGACTGGAGCTCATTCTAAAGTTCTAAGTGTAATTTAGACTTCAGACTTTCTAGAACACAAAATGACAGTTACTTAAAAAACAGTTAATAATTGTATAAAGTTCACTATTATTGATTGCAGAAGCCTGTATTAGAAGAACGACATTCTCAACAGCAAAAGGTAACATGTCAGTTGGATAAAGAAAAGATTTATTAAAGAACTTATCGGTACTTGAATTCACGAAATTACATCAATCCTTTGAAAACACCTGCTTCTTCAGAAAGCTCTAGTAACAAAAAGCAAATAGTAAGGTTCGGTGATCAGGGTGGCCAAGATGTTTGAAAGTTGCATTTGAAATGACTATCTTTCAATTGAATTTGCTACCAAGCATAATGGAGAATATATTGAACATTACGAATGCATTGAAGAATGCAATGCTTCCTCTGCTAACTGCTGATAAAAGTTACAGTTTGTTTTCGAAATAAATGTCATTTCCGTATATCTTAAATGCCAATATTCTCCACATCTTTAAATTGGAATTCCCTAATTAGAATAGTTCAGCGTACTCCGTAACGCACCCTTATTTGTTCATATTTCACTTACCCAGAGTGCCATATATTGCACGGAATCAATTATGACACCCATATAGTATTTTTTATCCGAAGAAACAGATAATAATTCTTTAAAAGTTTGAGGAATTTTCTCTTCTCCAGGAAATATCATATAAGATGGAAGTATGCCGAGATATCCAGAAGTCAAAACGAAAGCCATCATCATCCAAATGCCGAAAGTAATACGCAAGGTATTCAAAGAAACGGAATGAATATTTACATCTGTAAATAATTTCTTTAATAAAATACATTATAATTTCGTGTATTAATAAAAGTATTTCAAATGTAAGATAAGTAAAAGATCCCTACCGAGATTGAACACTGGTAATAGAATTAATAATAATAAAAACTGTATTGACGCAGCTTATTGCTTTTACAAGGGGAACGAAAAATATTTATAACATATTTAGCGACCGAACAAAAAATTATAAAATTTATACAATATCGACATGCTAAAACTTTAATTCGAAAGAAAGTTATGACGAAAATCGTTACCAAATATGACATATTTAAAATGAGAAACACATATCCATAAATCAAATATGTAACTTTTTCTAGCTGTAACAGTTATTTTACAGTCAGAACGTTCGGAATTATCCGTTATTTCGATTTTTATTTTTTTGTAAGTTAATCGAAATTGTATAGTAACTAATTTGATATAATAATTGAGGTTTGCTAATAAATAATTATTCAATTAATTTTTTCCAAAATCGAGGTAAGTTTAATACGAGAGTTGCTGTAAGAGGTGGTCTATTTATCTCTTGTCTAATCTGCAATTTGGGAACTGAGATATTAAGGTAATACATGTGTGACTAATGAACCAAAGCTGTATTTTTTCCATTTTATCTACCAATAAAGCAGCCCAGATTGGGAATGCATACAATACATATGGCAATACAAACGCAAAAAATAGTCTGAAATAATTATTCAGAGAAGTTATCTTTTTCTCGAGTAATTACTTGAAGATTTATATCTTAACTTTAGTCTCAATAATTATATCTTATAAATGGAATGAATAAAAGTAAAGTAAATTAAAATAGACATTTAAATACTTGATATTCGAGGTTATTTTCAACTTAGTGCTTTTCAAATACAACTTCTCTTCATGGATTTCCTCCTGTACGATTAAAAATATTTTTATTTTGACCGAATTAATTATTAGTCGGTTGTTCTCGCAATATTCCACAATCGTATTCAGCCATGTTTGAAAAACGAAAACGGAGCCTGCCATTAAAAGTATATTTTTAATGGAGTATTAAAAGACATTTGATTTCCACTAAAGAAGATAATGCTATGCTAGGCATCACTCTGTCTTGTATAAACTCTAAAATATTATATACAAAAAGGTATTTAAAAACAACATTAGTGTAGTAAGTTTTATTAATAAAAAAGGTCCAAGTAAACAGTATATACACAGAAATGTAAAAGCTGTAAGGACATAGATATAAAAAGAGTTAATTGCCTGTGAATAACAATGAAATATGAATTACATTACAGTCATTAATTTTAAGTAAATTAATGTTAACTGATTATTTAAATTAGCATTATTGTGTTTGGTGACATGTTATGTCTACAATACATAAATAATATTATTGTCCGAAAAATGCGATTTAATTATAGTAGTGAGAAACACAACAACGTAATTGAATGGTTCTCGGTGGAGAACAATCAAAAATACAAATTAATTCTCACAGCGAATCCTTCATCGACGTTTTGGGTGCTTTGCATTAGAAACTGCTAACATTTTCTTTGCTTGCTTTTCTAAACATTTCTTGGCTTCATCACGCTGTATTTTCTGATCCATATTCTTTTTACAGATGATGCACAATACATTTTTACCATACCCTTCATCTTTAGGATCTACTTCACTACAAACTGCGTGAAGAAACATATTACACGATTTACACTTGTGAGCACTTGATGCTGCTTTTAAACAAACAATACAGAATATGTCTTGTATAGTGCTCTTTACAGGCTCTGTACGAAACTGTGATGGCGATTCTGCTGGAGTTGAGAGTAACTCAGTGATGACTTCTTCAACTTGCAGAGGCGATTCCTTGGAGGTGCAGGGTAACTGAATATTCTTCGTGACTGCATCATCAATCAACGGTATAGAAGGCAGTTTAAGATTACTATTGGTAAAATCTTGTATTTCTAAAGGTGATTCTGTAGAAGCGGGGGATAACGGAATGTCCTCTAGAGTAAGATTTGACTGTGATCTCATAATCACAGTCTCTTGTGAATCTTCTAATTTTTCAAGGTCTTCTTCAGTTTTTATCGAATGTCAAACAATTCTCCGGCATGGACATACTTTTTCAAACCTTTCTCGCGCATCTGACAACAACTCAATGAGGTTTTCACAGCCTCGTACAGTCAACACATCACACCTTTGAATTATTTGATAATCTCAAGATGATTCTTTCTTCTTGGAAACTTTTATTTGCTTTACATCTTCAATTATGGAATCATACTTTGGTTTGTTATTAAAACACTTCGTATTATATTTTAAATCTTCGCTAAAGAGGTTTGCGAAGAATTTTTTCTTGATTTTACCACCAATTCGGTGCTTGCTTGCATTCTAGGATTTAAATTTATCTACGTAAAAAGAAGGAGTGGGGAAAGGAAGTGAAAGAAACAAACTTTTGAATTTTAACGATACGGAAGCCGTTAATGTGCAGATTACCTAGATACTCTGCAAATTACCTAGGTAATTTGAGAAATTGAACCATTTTCGCAGCTTTAACGGATCACCCTAGTTAATCTGCAGATTAGCTAGGTAATGCACACATTAACGGATTTCGAGCTTTAGCGGTAACATATTGATAAAATAGAAAAACAAACAACCACTAATTACAATAAGTCATAACATATTTTATTGCTGATCAGTACTTCTATTAATTAGTAAAAGATAAAACCAATTACTAATTATACACATTCATAATTTATAATTAAGTTTATTTTATGTGAAACAGAAAATACTACATTATCACATTATCCATTTCGCAATAAATGTCAAATTCAAAATTTATTTCAAACGACTATTTGTGTAAGTTTTTTATTACAATTTCTTGCGTATCAGTGCTTTTGTGAAATTAGACAACTATAAAAAATGTTTAAATGTACTTTTTTTTAAAAATATGGCTGACGATTTTCGTATATTTAAAAAATACGTAGAAAACATTGAAACACCTTCATTTATTTACCATGTTTTATTACAAGGAACTGCAACTTTCCATTGCAAAAATGAAGCTGTAGAAGCATGCGTATCTTCTTAAATGTTCATAGAGTGGTTTCTATCATTTTAATTTTTTCGCAGATACTTTGAATGCTTTTTTCCAGTACAATCTTTTTTATTGTTAAATTTCACACTTGGACCAATCTATTAATTTTTTTCTCTGAAAGTGCCTGTTGTAACATCCAGCACCGAGTTGCATAACTTTCCTGCCTGTTATAAATTTTTAGTTAAAAAATATCTTTTATATTATCAATCATAATTAATAAATGATGTGACGCCATCTACTGATATATTTCGTTCTAATATCTTTCAATATTTGTATTACTATAAAACAGCAAAAAGGCTTAATTTTGAGAGTAAGGGCAAGTTTTATGATAAAGTATAAATGTTTCTAACAAATAAAATGTTTATTAAATTCTATTATTCTTGAGATAAGACACACGACCCTTCTTTATCTCTCTATTTCCTGGACCATTCATTAAAATTGAATAGCACCAATAACCCTCATATACAAGCTACCGTGCCAAATTGCGTTTTTTAATGTCTACATAATCGAGAGATATTCAGCGAAATAGATTCTAGCACATTCACAAAGATACATACAATAGAGCATCGATTGCCCGTTCCCCGATTTACCGTCACATCGGTTAACCGACCGTTCTAGTCAGCAAATTTCAAATGTTCGCTAGTAATGTGGCACTACAATATTTGGCTATTTCTTGGCTACTTTAATATTATTTTACTTAAATTTTTGCGTTTTCTAGCTGGCATCAACGGCTCGACCATTAAAAAGAGGCCAGTATTTAAACGTGACTTAATTTTTTAATTATGAGTTGTTGTTTGTTTTTCGTGAGCAATAAAATAATTTAAAAATAATTTTTTACGATACAATAGCGACGATTATTATTTAAAAAAAATTTTTTTAGGCTAAACATCGATGAAAATTCAACGCGAAGTTGGTTAATAGCGATATACTAATAAACTAATTACATGGGATATACTAATATCCTAATATACTATACTAATAATATATTTTTTTTCCTTTTTTTCGGTTATCCGATTTTTTCAGTTATCCGACCAACCTGAGTTTCCAATTGAGTCGAATAATCGATGCTCTACTGTATATATCCACGAATTTTTTTTTTAATTTTGGATTTAGAACGTCTCAAACCGTAGAGATTTGCAAAAAAACTAGATAATCAAATTTCACAGGATTCTTTTACTCTCCTTTGTAATGTGTGAAAACCTAGGGGGTGGAGCGTCGAGCTTCTCCCCACTTACCGGCCGCTCTTTTCAGATATAGCTGTTTAGGAAGGCTTATGTGAGTGGGGAGGTACATGTGTAAGTTGACAGGTTCCCGAATAATTACACAGGTTGAACAACAGTAACACATTTAATAAATAACTATAAGATTATGCATATCGAAGGCAAAAGCAATAATGAAACAAATATAAATAATCAAAAGAAATTTATTCTATCCCGCACAATGATTCGTTCTATTCCTGATGCTAAACTATGAGACAAAAAAAAACATGTCTAAGAGGGATGTCGCAGAGAGAGAGATTTCAGGGAGAGAAACTCAGAATGGAGTCAAAGGTTTACCTTACGTGTTCCGATCTCGTCATATGGGAGACCGGTGAAACGTCCCTGGTTCCTAAGCGTAGTCTCTTTTGGATGGCGGTATGGAGCGACAGACGGTATGGGTGTCCCTTGATGTCCGCTCCTGGTTATATGCCGGCGGTTCTCTTTGGCTGGATTTGCTTCGGCTGTTTGCTGTTGAGGTGTCCGCTCGTATGTGTCCGGCTGGCGGTGTCCTCTTCGGCTGTGTGCCCGGAGGTGCAAGTGGAACCCCTTTTTATACTTGTCCTGGAGGGTGAATCATCGGGGAAAATCTGATGCAATCGCATGTAACTCTTGACTTGCGTCAAGATTTGTTTACGTTATTCTGACAGCCATCGAACGGTTCTTTTGATTTATTACTCTTTCTACCTGTTAGTTACGATAGAAAAGTGTCACACCAGCTGTCAAATTTTTTAAATTAATTGCTGCAGGTAGGTAATTTCCGAACATCTACGTGGCCACCTGGATGATAATTATGAGTCATTCTGTTACTCTCTATCATGTAACATTGTAACAGGTGGAGATTCTTCTTAATTGGCTACTGATTTGTACATTATAACGAAAGTGGGACTGAATAATCTCCTGTTGTGAGGGGAGAACTTCCAGAGAGATTTAGGTCACATTTTGAAGTGAGGCAGTACACTTATAGGTACAAAAGGTCTAACTTTAACAAAACTGGAAAGAAAAAGAGAAATAATGATGAAGATAAAAATTACCAACGTGTGAAAATTTACACGGGAGTCTGAATTCTCACACTATGTATACATAACAGCTGGGAAAGTAAAAATTATAGATACTTCTATCAAAATACTATTGATAGACACGAATGCCGTATATATAACAAGGAAAAACTAATGAAATCGTGTTAAATTTGACCCTCCGACTGTTTTGCAAATTACAAAATATTGAATGAAACATTCTGAATCCAAAATGTTAAAAAAAATGTTTCGCTGACAAGTATGTTTGTGGTGTTGTCATCTATTTCGCTTTATATCTCAGGTTCAGACAAACGTTAAAAACCGAACGTTTGTCGTGGTGGCTTGTACATGAAAGGCATGGAGCTAAAAATGTTGGCTGGTAAACGTCCAGGGAGTGGGGTGATAAACAGAGGTCGTGTGTCATATCTCGAGAGAAATAAGACTTGATAAAAATTTTATTCGTTAGTAACATTTATAATTATTCATAAAACTTATTCCTGCCCTAAAAATTAACTTTTTTGCCATTTTATAGTAATTAAAAATATAAAACTTTTAAATAAAACAAATTTAATGAAACATGGCGCCACACACNGGATTACCATCATTCAGCAATCTGGAATCGCTGAGAAACTTCTTCGAGATACACAGGAAGATGTTCGAAGACAAAGAGAATTCTACGAAACCGTAGAGATAGAGGATATTTTTTAAAAGACTTATTTATTTTACTTAATAATATACAAGCTATTTTTTAATATAAAACTCATAACAGCTGGGAAAGTCATACAACTCGTTGCTAGAATTATTTTTTCTTTAATTGTTGTTTCTATATGTCTACAAACAGCTATTTAATGGTGGAGACGCGAGCTACCACTATAGGAGAATGCACCCATTTTGTCACGTTTCAGTATAAGAAAAATCCAAAGGATTAAAGCACAAGCCTACTACTATGAAGGATCCAAGATAGAATATTGATAAAAAACCCTAATATAGTTTAATGAAAAATCTATCCTGAGTCATGTGAACCACAACTTTTACCATCCGCAAGCCCAATTGCATAAATTTGAGCGTACCCAAAATGGGTTAATAAAAACAGCCCAAAATATTATTATTAAATTACGATACTCAATAATTCAAAAAATGTAGAAAATACTATCTACAAAATCTTGAAGGTGTTTAAAAGTACTACGTGTAATCATAATAAACAATTGTTCCAATTAAAGTATAATATTAAATGTTATTCTACAATAAAAGCGAACTAAACCACAAACAATCGTATAGTATTTTTCAAAATATAAAATATATAACAATGTGTTGAAACATCCCTATTCCGTGATTCCAATAGTTAACAAATGCATTAGCATTTTTTACTATAACAATCGTAAGCAAATTAAAAAGTGATCTGTAAATAGAATAGATTAGAAATAGTCTTATTACGTGTAATTTAAAAATAACTGTGAGAATACGGACGAGGGTCCAGGCCCTCTAATTGTCAGATCTGTTAGACCTGCTCACCTTGTCACTGGATAGCTTTATTTTTCTCAGAACCCGAAGGGTAAGATTCTGTGTGGGTTGTGCATAAGGAAGAAATACCAGACTACGAAAGTCACGAATATAAAAATCAACACTTTAATCACAGAAGATCAAAATAACAAGGACAAATAATATAACAACAAAACATAAAACATAAGTTTAATCTATAACTAGGGAGTTCCTTCTTACATAGAAGTCTATAATATAATCAGTATTAACAATAATACTAGTAAATAATAAAAATACAGATGTAAAATATGGAAAATACATGACGTATATCCTATCGCGAGAAGAGGATCTATCCTTCCTACCGAGAGAAAGAGTTTACAATAAATCATATTAGAGTGGTTGAGGCGCACGTTTTAAACGTGTAAACGTGTACGTGTGACGTTCGGCGCCGCTTTCCCGTAAGCCTAAAAGTTTGACAATGGTGTTTGGATAGTCGGTGGAATCACGCTCGACATTCCAAACATCATCGTCAAACTTTTAGGCTTACGGGAAAGCGGCGCCGAACGTCACACGTACACGTTTACACGTTTAAAACGTGCGCCTCAACCTCTCTATTACCTTACTGGAGGGGATGTCTATATGGGCTTGAAGCTGAAGGCTGGACGTCCCGGTGGGCTGGCCCTATGGCGTGTTGTATCTGGAATGAACTGCCCTCTCTATGGCAACTACTCCTGTCCTAGACTGCCCTTAGTGTATGGAACCTTACTCTTTTATTACAGATTATTGCCCAACGATAATTCTTAGAAAGGTTGTCATTTCCACGGGTGGTGTGCAAAATTCTAAGATATAAGGTGTGAAAAAAAGAAGCAAAACATCCTAAATTTTTACTAAACTGTTGAGTAACATAGCAGTTTATCCAAAATGTTGAAGTTTATAACCTTTTTTGGTTATANGTGCTTAAGAATCAAAAAATTTTACTTTAATTTTAAGTTATTTTTATATTAATTCGTATAATAATAATATATGTTAAATAACATATAAACATATGCACACAAAAATGTAAAGTTTATTTTTTGTGATGAAAGTCCTGACTCTATTGCAAAAAAACAAGAATTTCAGAAAAGTTGTGAAGTTTCATTTGTTGCTTTTTTCTTTCTTTAAGCAAATATCGGTAGCAGAAAATCACAACCAGAATGCCTCATTTTGCTTTTGCATTCCTTTGAAAATCTGGATCATTTGCTACAATTTGATCAACAATTTTGGTTATCGTTACCAAACTTTTACTAAGGAAATCTGTAGAGAAATTTTTTGGGTTCTTCGTTTTCAGAAACTCTATTTTCCAGTCCTACATGAATTCCTTGTTCTGCCAGTTCTTGAAAGTCATCATTGGTAAGGCTCTCACCATAAATCTGTGATAACTCCTCAATATCCTCCTCGTCTACATCTCCTAGTCCTGATGTATCAATTAGGTTGAGTTTGGTCAATCTAATGATACAGCAATAGGTTCTTCTTGTTGAAAATTCTTGGATACCTTCAGCTATAACTTCTTCCACACTTCGTTCATGCATTTATCAGTTAATTCTTGCCAAGCAAAGCCAATATTGCCTATGGTATCCATGATGTCATATTTTTTCTGAAATTGCACCAAACAAACATAGATTTAAAGAAAGTACACCTTTTTGCCACCTTTTTCTGATTGTTTCATGCTCGTAAATAATCGTATTATATACAAATCAATGAAATTATGCGATAATTTAAATTGGCATAAATTTTGAGCTTTTTTTAGGCTTCGAGCAGACCACATTATATTGAATCAGTGTTAAGCGGGGTCTTACTGTATTATAAAATGAATGGTAAATTTTCATATTTGCTATGCAAAAATATGATTTAATTCATATTTATAGAAAAATTTTCTAATTTTTAAAAATCCCAACATACCATTTATTAATGCTAATAGAAAAATTGCTATGTATAATGAAATAGAATGAATAACTAAACAATAAAAGTGTTATCTGTTATTTGAACTGAGATAATCAAATATAAAACACATGCTCTTAGAATAACAATTTTCCAGCAATATTGTAATTAGCCTAGAAATGATGCTGACTGTTCAGTCATTACATTGTGCAATATCATGATATATGTAGTTTTGTAAAAGCATAAAAATCTTTGTGTGTTTATAACTGTATATGGCACAAACATTTTTATAATTATATATCATATAACAGGAAGCCATCTTGAATTTATTAATTGTTGTAGTTTAGTGAGAATGTTAAGTTTTGTAAATATATTTTAAGATTATATTGCTAAAATATGTCAAAAAATTTTTATAAATTTGCTTATAAATAAAGCAAATTTATAAAAATCTAAATACATGATTTTTGAAACATTTTATCAAAAAAAAACAAAAAAACAAAAAACAGTACAAGTGAATTTATAATGCCAACATAGACATTTATATTTTAAAATTCATTTGTAACATATTATGACTATCTCTCATCAGGCAATTTACAGAAATTTTAGCACAATATAATACTTTTTAATTTAATATTTCAAAAAAAGCAAACATAATAAAAAAAAACAATTCGTTATAGTAAAATATGTATTTCTTAAATTATACAACAAACAAATACAGATAAAGCTGATTAAATCCAAATATCTAAATTATATTTAATTTAAATTAATAATTCTAAGCAATAAAAAAGTAATGGTTGCTTTTTATTTACTTTTTTCAATAAAATTAATACAAAAGTTAAATTTAAATAGAACAGACTGAAAATCAGTGTCCAACAAGATATATTTTGACAGTTTTTTTATAGTAGTAAAATGGTTATTTGTAAAAGTCATAGCTTACGGTTTCTTTGAAGCCATTTGAAAGCCATCGATTCTGTACGACAGCCACCACAGAAGATGGTGGACTTTCCAAGTCTTCAAAAGCATCCAAAATGATGAAGTCTAAAACTACATCATAGAATGATAAACATTTAACCTGAAACAATTATTACAAAAGTCATTTCAATAATAATCTTTAATCATATGTTTGTTTTTATTAAACAGTTTTTAATAAAATTATTATTCTGCTATTAAATTAACTTTCTTACTTTATCTCAGAGAGTACCTCGTAAATCAAAAGGAATAATTTCACATTATCCATGCTATGTAGAGATTCTTTAATTAAAAATACTTTCAGTTTTTGGCAAGAAAAGTTAGTTTGAAAATACACAATGAATTTGAATAATGCATTCAAATGATTAAAATTTTAAATCAAAATAAACATATTTTGTAATATTACATTTGTTTTTCTTTTCACAAAATGTTGGAGAGAATTATACTTGCAGCACACAAAGAATGACAAAATTCCATACAGTTGCAAGTTTTAATGTGGAATGTTGTATATATTGTTAGTCTTAATATAGATAGATGACTTCTGCCAGGAATAATAATCACACATCAAATACATAATGGTAGTCTTACCATAATATTTTTTTTTCAAACCGGGACAATTTTGAGAAAATACAACAGAAAATTAGCCTACTAGTACCTATGATTGAAAAGGCTAAATGAATAGTTGTTAACAAAAACAACAAGTTAAAAGCAATTTTTAATAACTGAACTAAACATATCCTATTATTAATATTTATCACTAGTGTGAACTTTTCTAAAAATTCTTTGTCATTTAAATCAGTACATTTAAAATATGACAATACATTTGAGGAAGTTCCTATTGCTTGCCTTATGTTTCACACATTTCAAATGATTTTTAATGTTTGAATGCCCACCACGAGTTGCTGAAAATTCTGAAAAGCACAGTTCATATTTCACTTCATCAATATGATCACAGACTTTTTTTCAATCATCAGTAAACACATGGTTTCTTTTTGGCATTTTAGAGATTAAATGAATTTAATATACCGCGCATTCTTTTATTCAGCAGGGTGCTGAGCAGTTGCTGCCAGAAATGACATTTCTACTGCTGATGGTTGAAAACATTTTTGCTGGAGAAAGAGCTATCTCAAAATGGCTGATATAAACAATGATTTTCTTTCTGCTATATTTATGTGCATATTAGAAGAAAAGCCATTAAGTTCGGTGTTATTTATAAGAAAACAAGGAAATGATGATTTATTTATGGCATTGGTGATGACTGATTCCAACAACAAAGAAAGCGTGCAAAAATCGCTGGTTACGTTCACAATATTGTACTGCAGTATTCGAACGAAATCTTTAAAAGCCATTTTTGTATGTCATGATTAAAAATCTGCTCATTTAAAACAGCAAAAAACTGATTATTATTTGGTAGTTGAAAAAGATACTTTTTCATGAAGACGTCCATCTTGTAAGCACTATTTTTAGCATGGTCAAGAGGTGCTGCTAGTGCACTGACAGTAGGCTTAATAATTGAACACATGCACTAAAAGTGCTGCAAGCGCGCTGAATAAAAGAATACATGGATACTGTACAAAATAATTGCAAATGCCGATCAGCAATTTGAACTCGACTAAGATATGACATGCACAGCAATGACGTGGCCAGTGTAAGTTTCAGTCTTGCCAACTCTAATTGAAACAAAATATCTAAAAAAATGAAATAAAAATATCTAGATCTCATTGACTATGTGCTATTATAAATTCTGTGAAAAAATATCTGAATGACAAAATAAAACATCTAACTTCATTAGGCCATATGTTATAAATTTTTGAGGAAAACATATAGACATCCAACATTAAAAGTACTTAAATCTAGATACGAAATATTTAGATTGGCAACGGTGAGTGCAACAGAGGGGTAAGTCCGAAATCACCATTTTACTCACGGATGCACTATTTTTACTTCTTGTATATTTGGCACTTTTAAAATTTTACCAAATAACCGGGACAAAATGACAAACTGGCCGGGACGCTGGGACAATCCCGGTCAAAACAGAACGTCTGGTAAGCCTACATAATGGTTATTGAACTAGAAAATTTTAAGATGTTTGTTTATTATCTTGACATTGTCTTCCAGTTCTTCAGTTGTTTCTCTACTAAGAATAATATTTTCTGATTGATTGGGCTGAATAATAACTTATTTTTATAACCACAAAAAAGGGTTTGTAGGCAAATAAACAAATTTGTTATGTATGTACTTTCAATCCAACATTCCTCACAATTTTAATTCACAGATCTTTATTTAAATATATATAAATAAATATCTGTGAATTCAAATTGTGATGAACATTGAATTGGAAGGACAACAAATTTGTTTATTTGCCTACAAACATTTTTTTTGTGGTTACAAAAATAAGAGATTGTATTGGACAAATACTGCTCATATTAACTTTATACTGAACCAGTTGAAAGGTCCGATGCAGGCATCAGGTCATACTAAATAGTTAGCATGCATAGCAATAATAAATAATTAATTACAAATGGTTTACCTAAAGTGCAGAAATGTTCCGCAGAACACTGCTGAAAGTGAACTGCCCAGGACTAATCACGTGGAGATCTGTCTGTATGTTACCCCACTGGCCTGCAGTAATTTGCAGGCACTGGTGGTTTTTCAAAGACCCAAAAAGTTTATGTTTTTAAAATCATGATTAAACACGAAGTTTCAAGTAATTACTCTACCATCTCCTATTAAGTCCCCTTGTAAAGAAGTTTTAAGAATTTGAACTTTTACATCTGTTCTTTTCCTTACTCTAGAGAAGGCAACGTATAGTTGCCCATGACCAAATGACCAAACATTGTCTCAGATAAATAAATCCCAACTCTGTTCAAAGTCTGTCCTTGAGACTTACTTATAGTCATTGCAAATGCTGGTTTTATTGGAAATTGTCTTCTTATATACCATCAAAAAGAGTCGAGCATGGACTCTGGCAATTCCTAGGTTTGCCGCTATGCTTTGCTGGTGCTCGATACAGACAGTGCCAACAGATACCAACAGAGACTGGCCATTTTTTCAGTTTTATATAGGAGATAATAACATTATTTTCTCCCACTTTAGTTCATTATTGTTTTCTGAGACTAGGATAGCTAGTGCCATTGTTCTTCTCCTGTATTTTATATCATTTTGATGTTCTGCAATGCATTTGAAAGTTATGTTAATTCAAAGTAATTAACATAATTTTTTTTTTATCAAAATAAATTACAGCACCAATAAATTTACATGTAGTTTTCTTTTATTGTTATTTACTCTTAACATGAAAATCTCAATGCCTTCCTTGTATTTCCAGCAAGCATGTTTATTAAGAACACAAACATTTTATAAGTCTCCATCAGGTTTCAGGTTAGCTTTGATTTGATAATGTTCAAAACTGAATGTTACTCAATAGGTAATGCTATTTAACTTTTTTTAAAATAGGATATTCTATATTTTAAATATATTATTGTTATAGTAAAAAGTAGAAGTTGTAAATTTACCAACTTTTTAAAAATAATTACTGACTAGCAGACACCGCCATGCATTGTTGTGGCTCAAAATGTATCTATTATAAATGTATGACACTTCCTCCATGAGGGGGGGGATTTTTTGAAAAATCCCTTCTTAATGTGCATTCTCTTGACACACCTTATTAAAACGCAATCAAAAAGGCAAAAACCTGCATCTAAAATAGTATAAATAGAAGCAGAGTTCTTTATGGTAAGCCTTAATCCTAACCATCTCCCTTCAGTGGGGGGAATTTCGACATGTATATTATATAAAAACACATGTGTATTCGAATGCAGTGTTGTGTCAAAATTTCAAAGGAATCGGTAGGAACAAACGAACATTACATTTTTATTTATATAGATAGAGAGAAGTTGATCTGCTTTAGTTCATCCTCACAGAAAAGCAAACGTAGTTTGGCGTACTTGTAGCGCCATCTGTTGGACATAAAAGCCTTAACCTTAGATGATATCTTTTAATTTATATGAATGTTTAATGAAATAATATACAGCCTATGTCCACCCTGAAGTTCCATTCTAAATATTGGTGAAAAAATTTTTGAAATTGGATGAGTAGTTTCGGAGATTACCCACTACATACAAACTTCTTAATAATATTAGTATAACTTCTTTATAATATTAGTATAGCTAATAACTAGTAATATAAAAGTATTACTAGTATTATTGGTAAAATAATAAAAAAATTACTGGTAAAACAGTAAATTTTCAAATGGTTACTGATTTATTGGTAAATTACCAGTAATTTTTAAATTTTGACTCTCAAATGTGAAAATTACCACACTAGTGATTATTTAGTTGCTGACTCATGCATAAGTCAGCAACTAAACAATTACTGGTATACTATATCCAAATGAATTCCCATTAGTCTATTCTGAACAGCAACAATATAATTGCCTGAAAAATAGATCATACTGTAATTAAAAATGTGCCAGTACATGCATTTACATTAAAATAAATTTGCTTCATTTTGTCAACCAAAATGTTGCTTAACTAAAATCACTATTGCACTTTAAGGTATGCAATCATTCTAAAGATCATGCCAATCATATAGCAGATCATTCTGTCATATATAAAAACAAGCATAATATTTTATTTACTAAATCGCATTATCAAATTCTTACTCCTCTAGTTTTTAATTCTTCTTCCATTATTAACCAATTTTCTTCCTGCTGAATAAATTCCAATATATTGTCATATGCTCTTAAGCAATCTCTTGGATCCTAAAAATAAACAATCACAATTAAATCTTATATTAATTATATAATTTAATTAATAATGTTAACATATAACATAATAATGTTCTTGTTTATAACGTTTGTTATATCTTTAATGATAAATAAATAATCTAATAAATTTGACTATTTAAAAATTGAAAAAAATTATTTTAAAATATGAACTTAATTTATAATTGAAAAGAAGTAACAAGAATAAATTTAAAGTCTTGTCTAAAAATTTAATAAATTTATTAATTTAGTGATAAAATGTTTCCTGATAGATAATGAAAATATTTGAAAAACAGAATCAAATATTAAATTTGTTATTTAGAAAAGTTAAAAAAAGATTAATAATTTAATATTTCTCAGAGATGATAAAAATAAATCCACAAGTAAACATTTTTCAACAGTATATTTTTTATTTGTTGATGAAATATATTCATCACAAACAGTTACTAGCGATTTCCAAAATTTAATAATTCAATTATTTCACAAAAACATTAATAAAATAATTAAATAACAGTTTAACTGCTGTTAGTTATAACAAATGTAATGCAAATTTTTAGCTCATGTCAGTAGTTCTTGATAAATTACCTTCTCAGCAAACAGTATCAGATCTGTTAGAAGTTGACTTCCAATTTCAATAAACCAAAGTTTATTTTCTTCTTTTGACAATAACATCTAAACAATGAAATAAAGAGTTTTGTTACTTTATTAATACAAATTAGTACAAAAATTGTTTTATATCTGTACAAATTTTATATATTCAGTAATTAATAGTTTTATACAAATTTTAAGAATTTTCTTCACGTAAGCTGAGATTTATTAATATTCAACATATTTAAATTTCTTTAAACTTATTTAGCTAAATAAAATTTCTATATAGATTCTAATTAATTTTCAAAATAAATCATCAAATCTTAATGTGAATTAGTTTGATTACTTTAATTAAAACCAAACAATCTGCCAAATTATTGGACTGTAATAAGGCTAAGTTAATAATTAGATACAAAGTAGTTTATCTAGAGATAGGCAGCTGAACATCTCATGATAATTTTAATAACTATAATAAATTAATTTAAATTTACAATTTTTGAAAGAAAAATCTAAAGATACTAAGAAACCTTACTTTAAATGCCAATCTAACACAATGTAGTTTAGCAATGTATTCATAATCAGTTTGACATTTGAGCAAATCAGTCCTATAAAATAAAACATTATTGCCTATTATTTATTTAATAAATTAAATGGTTATTAAAAAATTATTCTAGATTAAAATTTTGGTTTTTACCTAAGAATTCTGTAGGGAATATTATTTTCTTCAAACTGTTTCATTGCTGCCTGATAAAGTAAAAGATCTTGAGTATCAAATTTTAATTCAAGAAATTCATCAAAATCCCTTATGTCAGCAACCTAAAGTAGTAAAAACACAATTAACTATTTTACAAGTTCATTTCATTCAATTTTATATAATTTTTCTACATTAAACTATAATAATAATATTGTAAGAAGCCGAGGGTTGAGGTGTGAACCTAACCCTTTCTCCAACATCAGCCCAGTAAAGGCCGCTCACTATGTCACTGGATAACTATTAAATAGGAGGGCTATTTGTCAAGTGGGGAGGGAGTATGGATAAGTCGATAGAGTGACTGGTTCTCTGCAGGAAGTCCACACACAACTCATTTAACAACTAAAACAGTTTAATGAACAAAAAAAGTGTATAATACAATAAGCTGACACACTAAGGTATTTCCTACCTTGCGTAAGCAATATACCAAAGATATATACTAAAGCTTTATATCTAAGTCAATCAAGAGAGAGTTTACAATAATCTAAATATGCTACCTCTGAGAAAGAGATTGAGGTCTTTTGTTATAGTCGAGACCTACCAGTTAGGTCCAGTCTTCTCTGGAGATGAAGTTCAGCTTGGAGAATGGCAAGTAAAGCTGCTTCCAGGGATGTCTATTGTAGTATGGCGAGATAGAAGCTAGCAAGTAGAACTTCTATGCTCCTCCTGGTATGTCCACCCCAAACCTCTGAAGTCAGCCCTTTTTATCCTCTGGAGTGTGAGACTTTACTATGCTGACTCATGTTGTTGTGATTCCAAGTTCATGATATGTCCCTGGCACAACTGAGGTGGGCCATAAGACTTTGACAATTTGGGCAGATTGTTGATATTCTCTGCCAGGTGTTCTGACTCTTCTTACCTCATAATTTAGACAATTTTGACGTTCTCCTTCATCAATAATTAAATGTTTGGACTTATCATAAAAACTTACTCAAAACATCATAAAGATTGTTGATTTATTATGGTCATTCAATTGTTTGTTATCTCTCAAATCAGAGGGTAATGGAAATGCCAGGTGGAAAGAAAACGAAGGTTTTTCCACTTTCTTAATTTCCCATTTTAATTTTAATTAATCCCCCGGATCTCACAATATTTTAATAAAAATAATAATAATTGAAAGCAATTAAGATTATATATAATTAAATGTCAATATATAAATATCTGAGAATTTTGAATTATTAGACCTTAAAATTTAATACTTGAAATATATTACCTCTCCTTGAGCAGAAACAAAGCTATCTGCAGATGATAAACTTGTCATAGTTCTCCAGTCAGTTTCTAATATTTTTTCTTGGTATGTAGATGATACTGAATCTGATTTAAACAATACAGAATTTTCATAGAGAAATAATTGGGTACAATTTTCTTGTAAATCATGGGCATTGTCTAATATCTTTTGCAGAAGTTGAGTAAATTTTCCTTCTTCTGAATCCTATCAAAATTTTAAATAATAAATTTAATTAATTTAAAATTAAAATTCATCTTATTACATCAAATCCCTATTAAATGCTTACTAAATAGAATAATTACATTATTTATATAGCATTTTTCCTCAATTCTAAGACTTGGTTTTTCTGATTTTAACCTGTCCAAAATATTGATACATCTTACAATCAATGGCATCTTATATTTCTATTTATGATCAAAAAGAACATTTCATTAGTAAACCAAGGGATGCACTATTCACCAATAAGATCTTTGGCTAAACTGCTCAATGTTCACATCAGTTCAAATAAACTTTGATGGTAAAGAACATTTAATTTACACTTTTTTTTTAACTTAAACGTTAAATACAGAGAAAGGTTATTGTGTATGAAGAAGAATAAGGAAATAGAGCTGATGAATATTATTTATTCCATAGCATTCGTATTTCTTTCTTTTCAAGCTTGTTACTTAAAAGCCTTAATAAAATTTATTATTTTAAAATTCTTATCTCCATAAGAAAATCATAGTTAAAATCTTAAAATTTGATTTCAAAATCATAGTGCATCTTATAATTAAGGAAATGCAGCAATTAATTTAAAATTAATTCCAGAAAACAAGTAAAATGGCAAAGCCATTCTTGGGATGAGACTATGTCTCGAAAAGTGCAAGCAATGCATGCACAAATCTCGCACTCGCACCTATTTGTAGAAACAGTCTCAGCATTTTGTATTTTATATTGACCCGGTTCTCAGTCTCCTGACTACCTACAAGTCTGGTTTATTTTATGTGCACATGATTTGGGACCAAATACTCTGTGCCAAATTGCAACTCCTGACATGTACTCCTTCATACCTCTAAGGGTGCATCCTATGTGGCAGTGCCCAGCAACCATGAGAATGAACATGCTTCCAAGCAAAGCAAACAAACTGGTTCAAGCAAATGTGCATGTAACTGCATTTAGCATGCATAATGGTCACTGCATGCTAAATGCAGTGACCTGGTGGTCACTGCATTTAGCATGCAGTGACCACCAGGAGACGCTTCTATACGCGCATGCAGGAAGCAAGAAGAAAAAGGCTGATTTTGTAGGGGAATGAAAATAGAATGACAAATAAATTGTGTATATGTTGTATGTACTTTAATAATCTTTTACATAATTTAATAATTTCTGATTTTGTAAATGTAATGTTTTAAAAATAAAACTTCTATTATTCTATGAAGATTCTTTATATTTGTAGTGTATCTAGTTAGTGATAACAATTACCTGTCAAATTTACCATTTTAATGCTTGTCATATTTTCCATAGCAAGCATTCGATAAAGTCATCTTGCCACCATTTTGTAAACAATATGTGTCCATTCTGGACAGAAGTCGCTTGCAAGTTGGACGCATGTACAAAGATTCTTTCCACTGGCAGTCACTGGATGCTGCCATGTAGGACATAACCTAAGGTGTGCAGCCATTGACAGCAATGCAATTTTAGAGAATAATTCCAGAAAATTATTAAAATATAGCTAAATATAAGCTAGTTATAAAGGTATTATTGTAATAAAAATTACCATATTAATATTCAGAAATATCTTTCTGCAGATTTCATAAATATAATGAAATTCTTTAAAATATAAAAAATTGAAGATACAGTCTGCTGATACTGGACTTACCATTTATTCAATTTCAATGTTCCAGAATACATTTTTGACAACCAACCTAGACCTGGACCGAAATTAGATCTGGATTTCACCAGTTCTCATTTTAAAATTTTGTTTTTAATTGGATTATTTTTTCATTATTTTTAAATGAAAATTTTTTAATTTTGACATCCAAGTAGCCTACAAAGAAAGGTCAGTTGTCAAAAATGTATTCTGGAACATTGAAATCGAATAAATGCTGACTCCAGTTTCAACAGACTGTCTTCAATTTTTAATATTTTAAACTTAATTACCATCTGAAAATAATCTACAATTAAACTGATAATGAAATTTTTTTTGAATTATGAGTTAAATATAATTTTCTTGCTAACTTGTTAATGAATATTTTATATACAAACTTTAGCAAAGTAATTTATAACTTCAAAGAATTTGGATTCATTACAAAAATTTAATTTAATTATCTATTTATTTACAATATAATTCAAAAATATTTTTAATATAATTCATTAATATTACTTACAGTTAAACATAATACATTTTGATCTGGTGACCTATAACTTTGTAAGGCATCTTCCCAATATCCAATTGCAGTTTCCAATGCTTCCATTCCTAAAATATTTAAAAAATAATTATTTCTAGTTTTTTAAAATTTATTTGAATTATTATAACATAAATATTAAGTTTAAGTTTAAGAAAGTAATATATGAATATTACCATCAAAATATTTAAAATATTAATGCTATTTAAAGCATATAAAAATGTATAAAAATTCCAATAATTTAAGAATACAATTTATTTCCTGATTTACTCTTCAATATAAATTTTTTATCATTTGTACAGATATGTAAAAAATAGAAATGTTATTTGACCAATATCTCATTATATCTGAAAATTAATTTGATTAATTTAAGGTTATAATTATCTATTAGCTATTTACATATTCAATATATTTAAGTAAATTTACATGGCTGTTATTACGATAATAATATTTAGTGATAATTGTAATTTCTGAAGGTAATCCAATAATTAAGAACCATTATTGAACTAATGATATATTTTCCTGAAACTACAGCAGATAAATGACCATGGCTTCATTATCATTTACAAGACTAAACTGTAAAATATTCCTATATAAACAAACAAAAACTTTCAAGTATTAAAGCGTTTAAAATATTTCTTGTTTACTGTTTCATATGGAAATTATATAAATTAATCAACAAGACTATTAGACTTTTTTTTATTATATGTGTATTTAATATTTAATAAATATACAAATGGATGGATATTTGTGCTAATTTTTTATTATTAATACTCTTTCATAATTCAAAAAATGGAAATTTGTATAGACAGATTATATTAATTATAAAATATTAATTTTAAGAACAAAATGAACAATGATATTTGAAAAATGAAATGCTATTTTTTAATTAACAATAAATAAATTTTTTACTGTAATTCTGTTTCTGTTTTCATTAGTCATTCTTATAAATTCAGCAATTTTAAATGCAGACTGATAAATATTCTTTCAATAGAAATTTTACAATAGATTAATTTTAGTTATGGATACAATGCATTATTTAGATATTGTGTGGATTCTATATGTATTGTTCAGAAAATTTATTTAAATTTTAAATTTGATAGTTATCATACCAAAAAAATATGTTCATAAGATTGAATAAAAGCAAGTTCTATTGTGCAGAGTAAAGTAAGTTTTGAATAAATAAATTAATTAAAAGAGTATTGTAAGTACCATATTTTTCATTGATTCTAAGATGCACTATGACTTTGAAATTTTTAACATTTTTAAAATTTTTTTATGACTTGAAAAATTTTTAAATAATCAATTTTATTAAATTTTGTTACCTAATAAAAAGTTAGAAAAACTATACAAATACCTTAAAAAAGATAATTTTTGGTAACTTTATCTCCATACTCTATCTGTATATACATTAATTGCTAAATATACAAGAGCTCATATAGGATACAAACAGGGGGCAATGGTACACAGATTACTAAGTAATGGTAAGGATTACATTGACCAAAATAAAGACCCCGGGTGTACTCCATCCCTATATATAACGATATGACGTTAGATTTAATAGATATCTAAAATACATTGGCTCAACTAATAGATGATTAACATACAGAATCAATAAACTTAAATACAATATCAACAAAAATAATTTATAAACCACTCTTGCACTTATAAAATGAATATATGATGAATACAAACTAAGAATAGCAGAAATATTTAAATCTACATTAACAGAACATTGCATTAACAGCAGAGACTGTGAGTCACTATCATATACTTGTAGATCACTATTTGATAACATGTTTAGAAAGGAGGGGTGGCAAAACTCATAACACGGTGCAAAACATGACATCCTCGTAGCACTTCAAATGATTTCGTTTTATTTATTTTTATTCTTAATTGAAACTTAGTAGATTATGATTTTTTTTAATTTATATTTTATTTTTATTTGTAATTTAATCAATAATTCCATTAATATTTTTAAAGAAAATGTAATGTAATATCATTGTAAAATAACATAAATATAAAATCATTCAANAGTAAAAATTACATATGGTAAAAATATGTGGCCAGATTGAATTAATTATTACAAAAAAATCTTTAAAAAGATTCTTCTAAGACAATACATACAAATGTATCTTTATTCCAATCCAGTCTTTTCAAATGCACATTTGAGGAATTAACAATTTCATGGCAGAGTCGACCTTTCTTTATAAGCTGCTTGTCTGCCTCTAAATGTATAAAACAGTTAAAATATCCCTCTGGCAGTGGCATTTCATATAAAATTAAAAATATACATTTGGTAAAAATACAGAGCCAGGATGAATTAATTATTACAAATAAATCTTTAAAAAGATTCTTCTCCACCATAAAATCTTTAAAAAGATTCTTCTGAAGAAAAGTCGACTCTACCATGAAATTGTTAATTTCTCAAATGTGTGTTTGAAGGGACTGGATTGGAATAAAGACACATTTGTATGTATTGTCTTAGAAGAATCTTTTTAAAGATTTTTTGTAATAAAAATTACATAATTTTTTTATTTGTAATTTAATCAATAATTCCATTAATATTTTTAAAGAAAATGTAATGTAATATCATTGTAAAATAACATAAATATAAAATCATTCAAAAATAATGAAATTTTAAATATTCTTCCAAATCAAATCTCTTTTCAAAAACCTAATGAAGACTTATTAATAAAGCTGAAAATGTTAATTTGATTAAATAGTAATTTGCTGGAAAAGTATATAAGGACATTTGTGTGTCTATAGTTAGTTTTTGACTTACAATAAAACCTTGGAAACCCAACTGTTCAATAATAAACAAGTGTCTGTATTTATTTTATCATTAAAAATTTGTGTTACTAATACAATTGATAATGTTACATTTTAGATAATTTCTTGTAGAATAATATTGAAAAATATTATACAGTATGGCTAAAAAGTTGCTTGCCAAATAGTGACAGTCACTGTTCTTAGTGTTTCAGGTGGAGTAAAAACCTCCACCTGAAGTAATCATTCTGACTTCTGAACAAGTGGAGCTAATTTTATTGTTTGGGTCAATCACAGAACAACACAGGAATTCTATTGTTGCCACATAGATCTTCTAGAGCCTCCATATCAGGCTGTTAGCAATATCCTATAAAATTTAAGAAAACATTCAGTGCCCTGAATGAAAACATGTTCCACTTGTTGTATAGAGGTTAGCATGATTACTTCCAGGTAGTTATTGTACCTGAAACAATAAGAACAGTGTTTATTCCATTTGATGAGAACTTTTTGGCCATGCTATATTTTACATGTTTAAAATTATGTAAAATTTACCCATTACTCCTAGCTGCTGTGGCGTTAAACTAGTTGTCGGAATTCCAGTTTCAGCAGTTAGTGTCATTGTAGTTAAATTTGAACTGACAGACTGTATATCACTTGCAATAGATCCTTGTCTAGGATGGTAGCTGTTGGGACTAACACTAATTCTTGCATGAGAAAAACCTAAAAAATCAATAAAAAAAAAAATATATATATATATAACCTTTACCTATTATCTATTTTTATCTGAAAATTACACAGATACAAACTAATGCAAATAAAAATACAAATCTTGATTTTATAACACGTTTTCTACCATATATACACACAAGTAAATAATATTACATACAATATTAATAATCAACAAGTTTATTGTAAAGATTATTTAGATAATATAATAAAAATAAACATTTATAGAGATTACATTGTGTATAATTCTTATAGTAGGTGGAGGGACTATTTATTCTTCTATTATCTTTTTATTAATTTAATGNTAAAATAATCATATATGATGATATGATAAGACTGGTTTAAATATTAGGCTAAAATTTGGCTAATTAATTTCATATCACTGCAAAAGTTTGGGTTCAAGTCCTGCTCTGAATCAATCTTTTCTTCTAGAATAGTTTAAATCAGGGTCAAGATACATCCCTAGCAATGAATGGAATTATGAAAAAGGTAAATGAACTCAAGGGATCAATTGAGAGTTGATGGAAAAATCAGATACTTATTGTACTTTTTTGAGAATTTCAAGTAATTTTCAAATAAGAATGACAACAATCGTGGAAAATTCATTCATTAACTGATTTAATAAATTTCTTAATATATTATGAAAAATCTTGGAAAATAATAAAAATTTTATGGGGGTCTAGTGAAAAAGGATATTTTCTACATGGAATCAATGAAAGAAAAATGTTGAGAACCCAAGGTCTAAATTAATGAATTTAATTCAAAAATTGATATAATTATTAAATTTAATACAAGATGGCAGCACAATCATCTACCTTTACCCAAATTATAGCAAAGTTGCAACCAAAGTTTTCATCTCTAAAATGTAAACATTGAATGTTGAGCATCGCTTACAAGATAGCAATGCTGAACGTTTGACATTCATGTTTTAGAGATGAAAACTTTGGCCGCAACCTCACTATTATCTATGAAATAATTAGCAAAGTTGTAACCCAAAAGTTAATTTAGACTTATTATTTGATCATTAGTATAATTCAGGCTTAGTTGTCTGTATGTATTATAAAAAAATTAAGACAGTCTTTCCACTGATTATATTAAGAATTAAGTTGGAAATTTTGTTTGCATATTTTGATTTCATTAGAGCATTATTAATTAAATTAAAAATTAAAGTAAATAACTAGCTCCAGCAGAAATCAGTTAATTATTACAATATTCTTTAGAATTTGAAAGTATAATTATTCTGTTGTTAAAGGAAATATTTTTAATTTCTCCCAAATAAAAATTCAGTAACCTTCATCATTTAGTTCATAACACCTAATACTTAAACTTATGGAAGTCATTGATTTAATACCAATAACTTTCAATTATTTGAACATAATTTATAAAAGTTGATGAAATTGGAGTGAAAAATCAGACTGGCTTAAAAAATAATATTATTATCAGAAAACATCCAGTTTGCAGGAGTGCAATGTTAGACTTATATGCAAAGTTTTGGTGCATTCTCATTTTAACTTTGATGTATAAAACAAAGAAAATGGAAATAGTCCCTGAATAGCCTAGTATATGAAAGTAAAATGTATCAAAGTTTCATAAGCTAAGAAATTACTAAACACTTTTCAGTAGACAAATCATCCTTCAAAACCAAAATGTATTTTAATTTTTAATACTTTAGACTAGATCATGTTCAGGACACACATAACTAAATTTTAAAAATTAAACAAAATATATTTAAATACAAACTCTTAAATATAATAGTAAAAAGTTTTACATATTATATAAATATACATACAGATATATTTCATAAAAATATCTAATTAACATTTTCACCTTTGAAACTGTATCACAAATTGCATTTGGATAATACTGAAAATGTGATCAATATGACAATGTTGAAACAATTGTTTTCTATTGTAAACAGTTATATATAATTTCATATAAAAACTATTAGCATAATTTTTAAATGACAAAAATCTATACCTCCATTGGTATCCTTCCAAGTGGCACCATATTTACTTTTTTGATGAGCATGGTTCCTTTTGTTAAATTTTGCTTTTCTTTTTCTTCTTTTTCCTATATAACTATAAAAAAATTACAGATTTATTTACTTACTTATTTTATATAAAATTTATTAGTTTAAACATCTGAAATATTTGCATTTATATTATACTTATTAATAATTTTGCACTTTAACGTGTAATATAAGTATATTCAAATTTTTAAAGCATGTATAAGAAAAGCATTACATATATAAGCATGTTTTACAAAAATATCTCATGAATAAGTTTTTCTTTTACTCTTTGCAATCTGTAGGCACTAAGAGGGCCTTTTTTCAATCAAGTTCATTGAGTTAGGTACATAATGAAATGGAAAAATGGAAAGGGACAAGAACCAACATATATAGAACAGATCAATCCCAAAAAATCCTGGGGTTTTTTAGGATTGATTCAGTCTCAGGTCCACCAACTCCTTAACCACTTGGCTATCTAGCCATCCACAAATAAATTATTGTTCATTCACAAATACTGTATATATATATATATATATTATATTGGCCAAAAAATTAAAACTAGATAAGGCAGTTGTTTCAACCCCAATACACCTAAACTATTCCTTTTGCTAAAATTCCTTAATTTTGGAAAGGCAAAATTAAGGAATTTTACATAGGAAAACTAATGGCCATGTTTACAATAGAAACATAATTATACAGCTTAATAGTAACTCAAGTAATTTAAAGTTTAGTTTGATACTAGAACAATATAATAAAAAACTAAACTTTTATGCCTATATTTGTACAAAGCAGCAGAAAGTAAATATTTAGTATTTACTTAAAATAAATTCTGTTATTAAAATTATCTATTTATAGATCAGTATCAGACAAATATTAATGTATGCTTATATGTATACTTATATTAAGCTGTTAAATTTTAAGGATTTTAGAACTGAAAATAATTATTAAGAACTTTTCAAGCCTAAATATTTTTCACAGAAAATTCAGAATATTAAGGACAACTAGATCTTGCTAAAAACAAGCAATTTTCTTGATATAAATATCTAATTAATTATCAATAAATGACAATATATTATTAAACAGAAATATCATTTTTAAAAATATTTACTATAAAAAAATTGTATAATCATTCTATTTTATTTTTATCTTTTTGTTCTGTAGTCAATAATGAAGATATATATTTGTATATCAATTATTATTGATGGCAATTATATTCTTAGAACAAAAGTAATTTTCAATTATAATTGAAATTTAAAATTGCTCCATTATTTGTTCTACAGCTAGACCCATCATTTTAAAACAAATATTTAAATTTTAACATTAATTTATATCTATCTATATATATATATAATGAAAATGAAACAGATGGGAAAAAAGTAAAGTAAACCGTTTATTATTTCAAAAGTAATCACCATAACTTATCCAACTTTGAGACGAGATGGTCAATGCCTTCGTGGAATAATGTTTGCGGTTGCCTACAGAACCATGATTGTACTCAGGCATGCATCTCTTCGTCCGAAGCAAATCGACAGCCACAAATGTCTTTCTTCAGGACTAAAAATATGGAAATTGATGGTGAGAGATTCGGACTGTATGGAGGATGTGTAAGGGCTTCCTAGCGAAACTTCTGCAGCATAGTCGAAACAACCTTGGCAACATGTGGGCGGGTATTATCCTGCAACAGAATGATGCCATCTGTCAACATTCCAGGGCATTTGGACTTGATGGCATGCTTCAAGTTACGCTGGGAAGCCTTTACACATCCTCCATACAGTCCCAATCTCTCCCCATGTGATTTCCATATTTTTGGAACTTTGAAGAAAGACATTTGTGGCTGTTGATTTGCTTCAGACAAAGAGGTGCATGCCTGGGTACAATCATGGTTCTGTAGGTAACAGCAAACATTATTCCATGAAGGCATTGATCATCTTGTCTCACAGTGGGATGAATGTATTAGCAGTTATGGCGATTACTTTTGAAATAGTAAACAGTTTACTTACTTTCCCCATCTGTCTCGTTTTTATTTGACTGCCCCTTATATAATGAAAGCCAAATGAAATATTTTCTAGATTTCTACTATTTATTTTCCTGTTATATCTCATAGTTAAAGTACATTTGAGAGTGAAATTACATGTAGTTTAATTACCACAATTTAATTATTAGATTGACTATTATATAAGCAATACACCCCAAATTGCGTGGAACAAGATTCGAACTTTCATTTCTCACTAAAGGAATATATGATTTGTTATTTGAAGCTTTTCTGTTAATTTACACATCCTTTGAAAGTTAGAAATTAGAATTAGAATGAATCAGTTTCTAAAATTAAATACTTAAGTACAAACATTTTTGCCTGTTTTTACAAATATCAGTTTGTGTAAATTAATATTTTTTAAAATTCCTATTTACATTAACTTTCTGTCTACAATGGTATATTGTTTTTTGGGAAATTTGTTCTGAATATATTGTATGAAGATAAAAATTTAAAAAAACTGTATTTTTATAGATTTAATAGGAAATTTTATAATGATTTCCTTAACCACAAAAAATAATTTTCATTTAAAAATGTCAAAAAAATCAAGCAAATGCCTAAATATCAATGATATACTGTATATTAATTATCATTTAAAGATCTATTTAACAATTATATTAATCATAATGATAATTTGTAATAAAATATAAAATGCATATGTATCCTATTCCAAACTAAAAACCATTATGATATTTTCTGGGCAATTGAAGAAAATAAGTTATCTGAAAAGCTATGTGAAGTAAGTTATTCACTCAGCTTAAATATTGCATACGATAATGCAATATTCTTTTTTTTTCAGTTATACTCCATTAAAATTGTTGACTATGACTTAAGTTGTAGTCCAAAGATCAAAAGGGAAGCACAAATAACCATTAAACCAAAAGTCCATAAAGCATGGAATGAGTACATTATAATTTTATATTTTGTTATAACTTGTTTTTTTTTTTACAATTTGTGAAATATTTTTTATATATATAATACCATAGTTATTATACATAAATATTTCATTATTCATTAATTATGGCATTTGTTATTGGATTATTGGTGATTATTGAATTATTTGAATATTACAATATACTAAGTATGTCATAACATTCAAATGTTTTTGCTTTTTGAACTATTGCAATTGAATTCTAATTTTTATACTGAAGAAATTACAAATCACTACAATGAAAGAAGTATAACAGAAATTTATTACCTGATTTATCAATACTTAATATATGATTATAAATTTAACTTATATTTTTATACAGTGTACAGTTTTGTGCAAAAGTGTTGTCAAAATACTGTGCAGCTATTAAAATTTATTGTTTTGTATTAAACTATAATTTCAAAATTTTTAAATGTTTTTTATATAAATAATTAATGAAGTATAATTATTATTATTTTCTTTTTTACAGAAATATGTTGAGAAGATTATCAGCTATATATTTTGTTTTTATTTGTTTTATTTCTGGTTCTGAGAAACAGCAAGGATATTTAAATGGATATTCACCTGTTATTTTAAATAATACTATATCTCTTCAAGAAAGGACATCATTTAGTTTCCGAACATGTTCCTCTGGTCTGTTGCTCTATCAAAAAGGCAAAAATGGAGACTTTTTATCTCTTGACCTTAAGGAGTCAGGCCAAATAGAATTCAAGTGGAAAATAAATGGTCAAGAACAAACTATTTTTGGTGGAACTAAACTAAATAATAATCATTGGCATAATGTGGATTTAATTCATAATGTAGGAACATTAACTTTATATATAGATTTTGAGTCATACATTGTTGCTAATAATACTTATCATAGTAATATATTTAAAATTAATTTAAAAGACGATATTCCAAATTTATATGTTGGATACAATTTCTCTGGCTGTATATTACAAGGAATAAATATTTTATTGAATTCTTCCACAAATGGAAATCTTGTTCAATGGGATATATGTCCTTTACCTGATAAAGAAGATTGTAGTAAGTATTATTTATTTTATTTCTCATTTAATTTATATTATAAATTTATCTTGTTTTATCCTGTTTTAATTATATTTGTGTAAAATGATATATGAAGAAGGTTTTATTTTATTAAGGAAATATATAGACTAGTTATTGAAATTTCAAAAATCTAATTATACATCAGCTGTATTAAACTGAAATGTTCAAAAATATAAAAAAAGGTACTAAACAGAAATAATGTCATTTATATTAAGATTGACAAAGTAGATTTCTTGTCGTCTTAGTATGCTAATGTTTCTAACAAAACAAAAACTTTATATTCCAGCATTAGTATTTTTAATTGCTAATGTTTTAGACTTTTTTCAAAGGTCATCATCAGGCTAGAATCTTTTTGAATCAGGCCATCATTTAGAGTCTTAAGAACTTTCAAACACATTTACAAACAATGTATTATGTCTCCCATATATAATACATTCCAAGTTCTTAAATGTTCTTAAGATGCCAAATATTCTAGCCTGATGGCCTTTTGAATAAGGTTAAAAATATTTGCTGTAATTTAATGTTTTCATTTTGTCCGATTTAATTTAACTAGTGTATAACATATGACATCATATTATATTTTATTCTGAGCCTCAACAAAGTCAGGTTCTACTATCATCATCAATTTTAAATGCTTTAATTGCTATCAATGTTTATACCATTTGATAACTCAAAAAAAAAAAAAAAATGTTGTGAGATTCAAAGAATGCATTAATATTAATTTATCCATTTTGAGATATTACTTGATATCTAGAATATATTATAGTTATTAGGGATGGGATAATACTAAAATTTCTAACAATTCCACTAAAAAATCTCTATTCTGATTCCAATTCTTTTCATAAACATAGTCAGATATAATCTTAGATCTGGCAATGGTAATGTGCTAAACACATTACCATTTTTTACCCTGAAATGCTACAAGTTGAATTATTACATAGTGAAGAAGTGGAGAATTAAATACACTAAACTTAGTAAAAGCACTTCAATAGTAAAATTTAAACAGCAGTTTGAGTGTTTCTAATTGTTGAAAAAACTGTCTTGTTTATAAAATCATACTGCCCGATGTTCTTACCAGCATAGAGGTATGAAGGAGTACATGTTGAGAGTTGATATTTGGCACAGAGTATTAGGTGCCCAAATCATTTGCGCATAAAAAAGTCCAGACTCATAGGTAGTCAGGGGACCGAGAATTGAGTAAAAATAAAATACAAAATAGCGACCCTCCTCTACAAACAGGCAAAACAGCCACCTCACCCCACCGAAGTCAGGTAGGGGAGAGTACCACCCACAGTCATTCTAAGAAGTGAACTCTGACCTTAGAACTGAACACAGTTTCTTCTATGTTAAATAAAATTTGTAATCTAATTTTGTAAATTTGGGAGTGCTTCAAATATGACGTTAAAACGGCTTTATGTCATTACAAATGGTTTTTTTTTAACATTATCTAGTACAGTAAAATCATGGGACCAATAAAAATTTGACGTTATATTAGGGTTGTCGTTACGTTCGATGATGTTATAATCGGATTAAACTGTATATTGTTTATGCAAAATAAAAAAATAATTTTGGACAATACAATAGCCATGATTATTTTTTTTCAAAAACGGGAACTTTTCGTTACGCATCGACAAAAATTCAACCCGGGCCGACATGCAACGGAGAGAAATTTTGAAATTAGATAGGTTAATTTCATCGAAGATGCATCGTGGACGATCTCATGGTCGTGGCTGGCGAAGTTTGAACGATCGCGCCCAAAAGCAGCGATATCAAAGAAGATAGGAGAATGAGAACGAGACCTGCCTTGAGCATCAAAGTGATTCCATCTCTGAGACATAGTCTTGTCCCAAATACGGTTTTGCTGTTTTACTTGTTATTATTGCTGGCAGTATGTTAATGGAGAGTTTAATTCAGATGAAATATAATCCTAAATAGGATTTGGCATTTCACAATTTTTCCATGTGTCAAAAAAATCTTTAAAATTGCCAAAACTGACAATGCTGGTTAATTGTTAGTTCTGATAGTTTGTGTTATTGATATTTCTTACCACACTTTCAGGTTTTCATATCACATGCATCATAGGATGCATTTGTTTAATTTTGCATAATGTCTCAGCTGGCAATGTGAAATAATTTTATTCTTTACTTTTAAATTAAAGAGCAAAATGAAACTTTACAATATAAAAATATGATTTTTAATAGTCATAATTTAAATAATTTTAATTTATTTCCTAAAACAAAATATCAGTTTTAATAAATGTTAAAGAATTGTTTTAAGAATTGAAAATCAAGATAAATTTCTCTTGATTCTTATATTAATTTTGATTGCTGAAAAATGTTTAATTCTTTCAATTCTTCATATCATTTCCAATTAATTGTCCCTTTACTAATAGTTATATAAGATGATAAACTTAAAAGTTAAGGTCTATAGCTTTTGTGACAAACTTAGTATAATCAATTTACATGATGCAGTTTAGAATCATGGTGCAATTTTAATAAACATATAAGAAAAAGTTTAACAATTAAAGTTTCATTTGTATTGCAAATTGGTATTTTTAATCTATTAGAATACCTCATTAAAAAAGAGCAGTTGATTTTTAATTTTTTGCTCTTTAGAATTTAGAACTTTTAGAAATATTTTATTCTGGTACTTTGAAACCGTGCTAGTAGTTATTAGTAGTAATTCAAACACAAATTATTATCGTATTTATTTTCAGGCACTTTGCAATTTTTATCATCAAGTTTTTATTTAGTTGATACGTGTTGATATTACACACGTTTCGGGCATTTATTGCCCCTCTTCAGCCAACTAAACACAAAAGTTTAACACTATAAAATTACAAATAACAAAGATATTAGGTATTGTTTTTCTAAAAACATACCTTTTTAATTTACAAGTTATCAAGATATTAAAAACCACAGGTTTCATCGCTTATGCTTACTGGTTGTTATGGAATTACAAAAATTTCTTGGCTCTTAACACACTTTAATCTAAGAAAANTTGATAGCTGACATTTTAAGGCTTATTTGTAAAAAATTTCCGTATGTTTTCTTAGATTAAAGTGTGTTAAGAGCCAAGAAATTTTTGTAATTCCATAACAACCAGTAAGCATAAGCGATGAAACCTGTGGTTTTTAATATCTTGATAACTCGTAAATTAAAAAGGTATGTTTTTAGAAAAACAATACCTAATATCTTTGCTATTTGTAATTTTATAGTGTTAAACTTTTGTTTTTAGTTGGCTGAAGAGGGGCAATAAATGTCCGAAACGTGTGTAATATCAACACGTATCAGCTAAATAAAAACTTGATGATAAAAATTGCCAAGTGCCTGAAAATAAATACGATAATAATTTGTGTTTGAATTACTACTAAATATTTTATATTAAATGTAATTAAATGCATAAGCAAAGGAAATAATTATTTTAATATCTGATTGCATATCAGATATAAAATTATTTGATTAAATCAATATGAACATTTTTAGTGATTCTGTTTATAATTGTTTTAGTCAAACTGATATCTAACTACAAGAATCTGACATCATTCCTGATTTTATAATTATTTGAGATCAAATATGTATATAATTAAAAATGATTTAAAATTTGAAAGATTAGAATATTAAAATAAAAACATTATTTTAAGCAGAATATTATATTCTACGAAAATAAAAATAGACTTATGAGGCTTTTAACTTTACTTTTCAATGAAGTCATACTGTATCATTGGTCTCAGTTTTATCCATTGTAGACATCAGTTTGTAATAGGAAGTTTGTCATCAGAGATAGATTAAAGAATGAAATATTTCTGAAACTTGACAGAGGCCATTAAGGCTTTTGTCAACAGCCATAATGCAGTTATTAGCAGTTAAGTTCTGTTAAGGTATAGATTTATTTTTCAAAGATTACTTAAATGAAAAATATATATGAAGATTATTCAGAGAAAACTAAATTAGTAATATTCCAACAGTATCAATGAGAGATTTTTAAAAAATTCCATTTTCTGGCATTTTAAATATATGTAAATACAATAGACTCCACTTACAAGTATTACAATCAGAAATTTTGTTATCAATCATTTAATGTTATCAAAATTAACAGATCCCAAAATTTGTAAATTAAAATATGTTATAAAAACTAATTATTGTAATTTTCTTATTATTTTTATCTTTCAATAAAAAGATATTTTAAGTTGTCTTCTATCAGCCTCAGTATGTGGCTGATAATGTGAAATCATCACTCTCAGCCACACTGCTTTTAAGTATTAAATATTAATCATTTTAGTTGTTAACTCTCAATACAGTAATATAAATTGCTGGCATTTCTTTCTTCAGTTATTGCCTAGCCATTGTTAAAGGTCATAACAGGCAAACAGTACTGAATGAATTATGTATTTAATAGTAATAATTAATAAATCTTTGTGGTATACAATTTTCTCATTGATTTAATATATTCTTTTAATGTCAATCAATAAAACAAGAATTTCATTTCCACTAATTAGAGACGTATATTATATTTATATCACTAATTGTTATCAGTAAAGGTAAATGATTACCTGAAAGTGATTACATAAGTGAATTCTACTGTACTTAATAATTACTGATAAACTTACTATTGCTGATATACTTTTTTTTTTTAACATTTTATTGAAATGATTCACAGTAATATAAAGAATAATATACTGAATTTTGAATTTAAAGAATTCAAACTTTAAGGTAATGTTAATAGCAAAAACTATATACAAATACTATTTTTAATAATAAATAAGTCTTATAGTGTGGTTTATTTGTCATCCGACGTGAGTGCTCTTTTTTTTCGTCTAATAAATAAAACTGTTTAAAAAGAAATAAGTTTTTGTTTCAGAAAATCATTTCACTTTCTTTGCTCACTCAAAAGAACATTCTACTAATATAGTGTAATGTTATTAAAGAATCTTTAAATTTATTTATAAGGATAAACAATTTTTCTTATAATTATTTAAA